TGCGTTGCCGTAGCGACCTGGCCTTCTCTCTGCTGTACCAGGAGTACAACAGCTACCTGAGCCAGCTGCCGGCCGGCCTGCTGGACGGATACGACCACTGCCTCTACACCCTGCTGTCCGGGCTGCAGGAGAAACCTGAGCAGAGGGACGGGTCAGTGGGACGGCCGTCACTCTGTCCACTCTGTCCCTCCAATATGTCCTACTCCCCACCCATTTCCTTCCTCATTTCCTTACTTGTGTAGATCCGGTTCCGGGTTTTTCCAGTCACCAGTTTCTGTTGAAATATTGAACATAAATTCAAAGATGAATTATTTTTGGATTAAGCTGAATTTCTGGGAAAGTCTGGAAGGACCTGGAATGTCCGTAGCAACCGGAGCAGTCTGACTCGTTTCCTGTTCCAGGCTCTTCACCAAGCTGGTTCTGGAGGCTCCCATCATCACCGAGTCGGCGCTGGATGTGATCCGCCGCTACTGTGAGGACGAGGTAACCGAGACGCACCGTCCCCCGCCTCTAGCTGTCCCGCTGAGCGGTCTACTGACCTCTGACCTCTGTTTCAGTCCCGGGTTTATCTGGGCATGACGACGCTGAAGGAGCTGATCGTCAAGAGGCCGTCCAGGCAGTTCCAGTACCTCCATGTTCTGCTGGACCTCAGCTCCCACGACAAAGAGAAGGTCTGGTTCGGCTGACTGGGCTGGGTCGGGCCGAACCGGTCCCACTGGTTTATACTGGTTTCATCAAATCCATCCGTCCATCTGTCCTGATTTTTATACTTGAAAATGGACCAAATATGGTCTGAATCTGAACTAAAGCTAAAGCTAAGCTCTGATAAATCTTGTCCTGTCGATCTGGTAGCTGCTTGTTGTTAGCTAAAGCTCTGACAAACATAAATCTGATGCTAGTGCTAAAGCTAATGCTAAGGTAGAGCTGTCGGTGTGCTCCAGGTGCGCAGCACAGCCCTGGCCTTCCTGAAGCGGATGTATGAGAAGGACCACCTGAGGGACTACATCGAGAAGTTTGCCCTGAACTACCTGCAGCTCCTGGTTCACCCGAACCCGCCCTCGCTGCTGTTCGGCGCCGATAAGGACACGGGTCAGCGTCCCTCACCGACCCGTCACAGCGCAGGAAGTGGCTAAGTTTCCAGAGGGTCTAATGTCTGATGTCCCTGCAGAGGTCGCTGCTCCGTGGACGGAGGAGACAGTGAGACAGTGTCTCTTCCTCTACCTGTCCCTCCTTCCTCTGAACCACCGGCTGGTCCATGAGTTGGCGTCCGTCTACACCGAGGCGATCGCCGACATCAAGCGCAGCGTGCTGCGCGCCATCGAGCAGCCGGTGAGTCCGTCCTCATGTCTCCTCTAGGAGACGTTTGACCAGACATTACGGGGTGTATGTATACTTCTGACCCCGTGTGGATCAGCAGAGTCAGTCGGTCTGGATCTGCAATCCGACTCAACAGTGAACAGTTAACTACACTCATGAAGCAACCTTCATGAACATCAGTTCTGTCGATGCTACGCGCCTCACTGTTTGGCAGCAGCTAGCCTCTTGTACATCATCACGTTATTCAGTGGAAGCTAAGGCTAATGCTAATTTCATCCATGTGTCAGTGACGTTACATGTCGCCCTCAACAGGACCAAATTTGTCATTACGCCTCCACTTGTAGGCTTGTGATTTTGAACGCAGCAGCGAAGGAAAGGCTTCAGAATGAGTTCAGGGGAAGCTGAGCGTTTAGTGGAGGCCTTCCTGCTGCTGCATAAACGCATCAGCTCTGAGCTGTGAGGCTGCAGCACACGGTCTCTGTTCTGGATCTGAGACAGTAGTAGTTAGAATGACTGTAGATCTATAGAGCTACAGCTCATCCTGACTGTTTGGGTTTTTGTCCTTGCAGATCCGTGGGATGGGGATGAACTCTCCAGAGCTGCTGCTGCTGGTGGAAAACTGTCCTAAAGGGGCAGAGACTCTGGTCACTCGCTGTCTGCACATTTTGACCGATAAAGGTAGAAAAGATCTGAACCCAGACAGAAACATGAAGGTCCAGATGAGTCCGGTCCGGTTCTGATGCATGTCATTCCTCCGCCCAGTGCCTCCGTCGCCGGAGCTGGTGGAGCGGGTCCGGGACCTCTACCACAAACGTGTTCCGGACGTCCGCTTCCTGATCCCGGTCATCAACGGCCTGGAGAAGGTGGCGTTCCCGTGGGAGCGGGTCGGTCCAGCGCCGCTCGGCTGGCGTTTCGCTGACGGTTCTGTTTCCTCCTCAGAATGAAGTCATCCAGGCTCTGCCGAAGCTCATCAAGCTCAACCCGATCGTCGTGAAGGAAGTCTTCAACCGGCTGCTGGGAACTCAGCACAGTACGGCTCCGATTCCCGCGTTACTGCTAAGCTTCAGATGTTCTGTAACAGCTGGGGCTGTAAAATATCCGGTTCTGGTGGTTTGGTACCAAATGAACACAGCAGGATGTTTGAGTGGGAACCACATAGCGAAGTGAATGGTTCTGTAGGGAAACTTTAAGACGTGACACCACAGAGGACTTTCAGGTTTTACAGCATCTGGAAGCATGAGTGCAAGTCAAACCAGGAACAACGTTACTGGTTCTGGAGTCCGGATCCAGCGACCCGGAGGGTCGGAGTCAGCTGATGAGATTTTCTCAGCATGTTGGTGCAGCTGGATCACCAGGCGGCTTAAACATGTTTGACTATCAAACCAGAGCAAAAGCAAACACAAGCCTGTTTCTAAATGATTTGTCCTGATGAAAGCGAAGCCGGTTAGCAGTTAGCCGTTAGCTAACAGGTTCTGTTTCTGCCAGTGAATCTGGTTTCTGTTGGCAGGTGAGGGAAGCTCTTCGGTTTCTCCGCTGACTCCAGGAGATCTGCTCATCGCCTTGCACAACATCGACTCAACAAAGTGCGACATGAAATCCATCATCAAAGGTCAGAGTTCAGACACCAAGCTGCCGCAGGGATCCAGCGTTTCAGTAACTCTGATGTCACGAAGCGAGAGAACAAAACAAGCAGCAGAAATATGAGTTTAACTGAATCACTTACAGCACAGAAATAAGAAAACGGCTCCTAAAGTAACAAAACTAAGAATTATTTAAGAGGACAAACTTAATTAGGTTTCTTAGGTTTTATTTTAAATGAGCAACAAGCTGTCCAATTTTAGCAGAAGCTACACAGACAGTATTTAGTGGAAGCTAATGCTAAGCCTTTATATCGCCCTCTAGAGGGCCAGGTCTGTTGCAGTCTTCATCCTCACCACTAGATGTCAGTATTCCTATAAAGTTTTTGTATTTTCAGGATGTTTGGTGATTAAATATGTCTGATCTCCTGTGTGGTTCATTTGTGTCCTTTGGACCAACAGCCACCAACCTGTGCTTCGGGGAGAAGAATGTCTACACGTCGGAGGTGCTGGCGGTGGTGATGCAGCAGCTGATGGAGCAGAACCCGCTGCCCATGCTGCTGATGCGCACCGTCATCCAGTCCCTCACCATGTACCCGCGCCTGGGCGGCTTCGTCATGAACATCCTGTCCCGCCTCATCGTCAAGCAGGTGAGCTTCGCCGCCGGCGGGTCAGCCGACTCCATCGGGTCGGCGCCTGACCTCCATCCGTCCTCCAGGTGTGGAAGTACCCCAAGGTGTGGGAGGGCTTCGTGAAGTGCTGCCAGCGGACCAAGCCGCAGTCCTACAGCGTTCTGCTGCAGCTGCCGCCGCCGCAGCTGGCCAGCGTGTTTGAGCGCTGCCCGGAGATGAGGGCGCCGCTGCTGCAGCACGTCCTGTCCTTCACGCCGCATCAGGTCAGAACTCTTCTCGCTTCCCGCCTGCCGTGCTGCGCCACGCTCCTGACCGTCCTCCTTCCTGCCTGCAGCAAGCTCACATCCCGACCTCCATCATGACGGTGCTGGAGGCCCACAAGAAGCCTGATCCAGTACCAGCGGAGCCGGTTCTGAAGGTCAGCACCTTCCTCCCTCTGGGTCCGGCCGGGTTCAGGGTCTCACTGTCCTCTGATGTTCCAGGAGGAACTGGCAGAACCGACTGTCGCACAGCAACCAGGACCCGGACCTGAACCAGGACCAGGACCGGTGCTACAGCAGGAAAACGTTCTGCTGCGGGACGAAGAGGAACCGATGGAACAGGAAGAGGCGGAGCCGCCGACACCTGAGACGACCGACCCGATTCACCAGGTGAGCCGACTTCCTGTTCTGACGGGTCGCCACAACCCGACTCGGGTCCGAGAAACCAAACGAACGACTCCAGAATGGACTTGTGGTGTGAGTCCAAGTGGTTCTGGTTCTGACCCAAAACAGCGTCTTGGTCAGTTAAAGTCTGGAGGAACTTTTCTGCAGGAGGAAGAGCCTAAGGCCGCAGAGGAACCAGAACCAGAACCGGGCCAGGAGCCATCGGAGGAACCGATGGAGGAGCCTGAGGCCGAGCTGTCGGATCAGCCGGAACCGCTCACGGCTCCAGAACCGGAGGCGGCGCCACCTGCAGCTGGAAGCGGGTCGGAGAACGCAGAGTAGACCAACGGTTCTGCTGCTGTAACCCGGTTTAACCTGACTGGGTCAATAAATGTTAGTTTGTCAGAACTTGTGTTTCGTCCTTCCTGTCGGGTCAGAGGTCCAACATGAACGGTTCTGGTCGGAGAAGACGAGGATCAGAATTTATTTCATGAACGGCTTCATGTCGGTCCAGAGTAGAAACATAATGTACTCAAGTAAAAGTACAGTTACTTTAATATTCAATCTAAATAAAGTATCAGGGTAAAACGGTTCTGAAATGAAAGTAAAGAAAGGAAGTCCCTAAAACGTCTTTACATTATTACAGTAACGCGAGTAAATGTAACTAGTTCATGGTTTCTGCAGCATCCTAAGAGTGTCAATAAATGAAAACCTAGAGGTAAATTATTTTCATTTATAAATAGTGAATATTTATGATCCAATCAGTTTAACTGGTTAGTTTCTAGTTTAGCTGGTTCGGGTGGGTGTTCTGAACTCTGTGGTCAGCAGGTTCAATAAGGTTCTGCTGATTTATTAGTTCCTCCAGGGGGCGGTAGAGCGTTAAAGAGCTCCTTCCAAACCTCCAAAGAAGAATGGGAACTTTGCCTCAGTTCAGCCGGACCTGGAACCAGAATGCCGACCCAGATTGGCCCAGACAAGAGTTCTAGATGAAGGCCGTGATTCTCGCCGCGGGCTACGGAACCAGACTGCAGCGGGACGTTTCCTCCGACCGCAGCGGCAGGTTCGCTCACCTGGTCGGGGTTCCGAAGCCGCTGCTGCCGGTGGGCCGCAGCCCGCTGATCAGCCGCTGGGTCCGGGCGCTGACCCGGTCTGGAACGGTGGACGGGATCTACGTGGTGGTAGGAACCCAAAAATATTCGAATCACGTTTCAGTAGAGATGATCAAACAGAACCGGTCCAGACAGCCGAACCGAAGGGAATGATCCGGATCCCAATTGGAACCGGTTAATGAACTAGTTGACCCAGAACTATTCCGTCCGTTTGTCAACTCTATGCAACCTTTGACCCCGTCTGGTTAAAAACCAACACAGCCAAACTTGAATTGGACCGTTTTACTTTAAAGGTTATTTGTAAAACTTTTATCCCACTGATTAAAATCTGATACATTTTTGTACCGTTTTGGGTTCTTTGGACAGGGCCGGTGTTGTGCCCAGAAACGCATGCCTGCCCAAAATTGCATCCCCTCTCGCGGGAGCGCGCATCGCTCT